AATCCTAATTATATACGGGACCAATTTTAATTAAAATAGCGTAAATATTACTAAATACAGGTTTTTGCATTTTAACCATAGTTTACGATATATTTGTATTTAGTAACTTTTTACCATCTTTTGGTTAAAATTAGTTCCATTAAAAAATAATCAATCATGTTTTGTAGTTGACTTTTTTTTATTTTCTTTTAGTTTCTTAAATGTGTGATACCAAGCACTTTTTACAGTTTTTCATTTGGAATTTAATCCATTTGGTCGTTTTTTGACTAGAAATATGAGAAACCTGACAATCATCCTTATGGAGTACCTATCAATTTCGGGGGTTACTTTTACCCAATAAAAATGTATTTCCGCAAAAAAGGAACACGTACCTTAACATTTTAAGGTAGATTAATATATTACAACCGCTAGTCAATGGATAAAGGTTACGCCGAAAGGTTTCCTTGTAAGAAACCCTACTTTGAAAAAACCTCGTACGAGAAGGCGAAACGTCGGTTAAGTTTTGTCAAAAATAAACTTTAAAACAAAACCTATTGCAGCTCTGTCCTAATTTGCAAGACTTAAGTATAATTTATTTAAATAATATTTAAATATAAAAAAAAATCTAAAAACTTACCAGAGTAACTGTGCTGTATCTGCACTCAATTTGAAACGTACAGTGACTATTATGAGTTAGTTTAACATTACACGGTGGGCACAAACTCACTGATCCTTTACAAGGTCGTATGGTATCATATTCATCTTTGGACCTATAATACAATAACAACCTCCCTTCCAACACGAACCAGTATTTTCTCCAAGGTGACCCTATTCTCTACAAGGTGCCATTTTAAATGAACAAACAAAGCTATGAACAAGTGCAATTAGCAAATATTTCCCATTGCTCGTTGGAAATACCCGTTAAATTTCTTATCTAAGTTATATGCATTTTAAATAGTATTTATGATACAACATATTTGTATTTTTCTAGAGATTGTAACATGGATATCGCAGCAAATGAAATGAAAAATTTATAAAATACTGTAAAAGTAATTCTTTTATTTTATTAAAGGTGTTAGAGGGTGTTTTTTAGAACTGCTGACATTTTTCTTAACCTAATTTGTCTATTAATAAAGCCATATGCCATCTGTATGGATTAATCCGATCATTATTCCCATTTTTAAGCTGAAGATAGGTCAGATTCTCTCCTTAATTTGTTCTATTGATAAATTATTTGATTTTATTACGGCATCTACGATTAATGAGTGTTTTATTCAGTTGACACTGAAATAACATCATAGTTTCACGAAGAGGTGTTTTAGATTAACTAACCTTAAGGTTTATAAGTACCTTAAAATAATAGAGACTTAATGATTCCATTAAAGGTGTATGTTTGGAGCACGGCGTTGTACGGGTGTGAAACATGGACAGTGGGAGCGGCGGAAAAGAAAAGGTTAGAAGCGTTCGAAAAAGGTTGTTAAAGGTGTATGTTTGGAGCACGGCGTTGTACGGGTGTGAAACATGGACAGTGGGAGCGGCGGAAAAGAAAAGGTTAGAAGCGTTCGAAATGTGGTGTTATAGGCGGATGATGAGGATATCGTGGGTAGAAAATGTTAGTAGGACACCTTCTCAGGCATGAAGGTCTAGTCAGAGACATATTAGAGGCAGAAACAGGAGTTAGGAGGGGTAGAGGTAGACCTAGATTAGATTACTGTTCGCAAATAGTTAAGGATGTGGGCTGTTCTAGTTTTAGGGAAATGCGAAGTTTAGCTCAGGATAGGAAAGAGTGGAGGTACGTGTCCAACCAGTCTTAGGACTGATGGCCTTATGATGATGATGATGAATGATTCCATATATTGCACATGAGGTCTATATGAACGGTAATGCCTTGAGAGTTCGTACTTATAATTAGAATATAATAGGTCAGAATTTAGAAATTTAGATCGTATCAGAGATTTGGGGGTGATATTTCAGAATGACTTTGCCTTTGATCTACACCTTGAAGATTCAGATATTGAGTTTTATCAAACAGGCAGGCAACCGTCCGCATATGATTCCTAAATATGGATGCCTTACTATCAATTAAATATTTCCAAAATGGAAAAAAGTTGTGCATATAAACTTCTTTATTTGCTAAATTGGAATTTCCTCAATAAAGTCTATGCACAGTTATTATGATAAGCTATTTATCAGAAGAGTATTCATTAATCGCATTGACGCTAATGATATTCAAGAAATATTCATTAATAGGGATTTAAGTTAATATTGTTAAAATTATCCTTTATTTTTTTAGGTAAAATAAAAATATTGGTATGCAAGGGAAGAAAAAGTAAGGAAAGAGCGAATGTAAAGATAGGAGACGAATAATTAGAAGACAAAATCATTCTGAAACTCATAAGATTTTTGTTTCTATAAGTAATGTTGGGGGGTAATATTTTTTTAGGTAAAATAAAAATATTGGTATGCAAGGGAAGAAAAAGTAAGGAAAGAGCGAATGTAAAGATAGGAGACGAATAATTAGAAGAAGTAGCTGATTTTAGGTATCTAGGAAATCAGATTAGTCAGGACGGAGGGAGTAGTAGGGAAATAAAGCAGAGGATAGTGCAGGTTCGAGTCACCTTCAATAAAAAGAAGTCACTTCTATGCTCGTGAACGATTAATTTAGAAATTAGAAAAAGATTGTTAAAGGAGTATGTTTGGAGCGCGGCGCTGTACGGATTTGTATGAGGATACCGAGTATAGAGAAGGTTAAAAATGAAGAGGTATTAGAAAGAGTAAGAGAATAGTGGACTCAAGAAGTCAATAAGAAATGGGAGAGATAAGCTGGTAGGACACCATCTCAGGCATCAAGGTCTAGTCAGATACATATTAGAGGCAGAAACAGAAGTTAAGAGTTTAGGGGTAGATTTAGATTAGATTACTATTCGTAAATAGTTAAGGATGTAGGATGTTTTAGTTTTAGGGAAATGCGAAGATTATCTCAGGATAGGAAGGAGTGGAGGTGCGTGTCTTATGACTGACGACCTTATGATGATGATGGCGATGAACTGCATCAAAAATTTTATTTTAATAGTGAGCATTTTAGGACTTAATATTTCTTAGGTACCGGCAACAATACAGAATTGTCATGTAAAGTTGTATCTAAATAATATCTACTAGTTTTTATTTCTAAACAAACATTAATGCGTTAGGTACAATATAACTTACCAATTTTCCTTTTTTCTCCAAGTAACCTGAAATTTTTCCAGAAATACTTTTTTCAGATGTCATAACTTTTCTTTTCTAAAACAAAAAGAAAATCTGGTTAATGAATGAAATAGAACACCATACAAGTGCTTTTGTTTACAAACGTAAAATGTAGTTAAAGGTCATTTTTCCTAGAAGTGGGTCGTTTCGCCTGCAGCTAAGAGTTATGCTTCTATTAGTTTCTTTTTACCTTACAATAAGTACCTTTTGATGGTAACTGTTTACAATTTTTTGATAGCTACTGTATTAATGAATTAGTTTTAGTAACTTGTACGATATATAACATTTTACAATTACAACAATTATTTTCCAAAGTCCACAACATGACATTTAATGTTATTACTTCGGCTTAATTTTATCTCGAGGAAGCGTTGTTATGTTAACGATCAGAAAATGTACAAAAATGTATAATTTAATTATCTCAACTATCTCTTAAAAATTTAATTATCTCAAAAATTGATAGCTATCTGCTGGGGAAGTACATGACAAAATCGATCGCAAATGAGCTCTACTGTTTTTTAAATTTCCTGTAAACCTGCACAATTAAGCCAATCTGGGCTTTTTTTTGTGGAGGGTAAAAGTCGATTCTTTGAGATGAAAAGGCAATTATATGTAATTGATAAGTATAAGGTAGCTCGTTTTAGAATATCTTTTTTTATCGAGTATAGAGGAGCAAAAATGTTATGTCTTATCAATCTAACCTAGTTATTTATTTTTCTTTAAAGATGGTAACACACATTTTTTAAATGTTTTTCAGATCCGCTAATGTATAGACACGTTGGTTATAATAATATTCTTAGAGCATTCTTTTCTATAATTAAATGCAATTATGAATGATGTAAGGCGAATTTAAATCCTACAATGCGTGAGCTAGAGAAAGTAAAAGTTTTTCCACATATCTATGCATAATTAAGTGCATCAATGTTCCTGCTTAGTAACGTATTAATTAGATAGCAGTTTTCATTGTTACTATAACAAACTATTAACCTGAATTTGTGACTCATATATATTTTTAATGTTTGTCAGATGAGATAAAAAATAAAATGCCTGACAGTGATAGGAATGGAATTTCCGGTAATGAATTGCAGGAGGATGGAATATTCTTAAATATATTATCTATTCTGAACAGGCAGTTGTAGAACTTGAGTAGTAATGAAGAGAAGTAAATATTATGAAGAGAGTCAGACAAGGATGCACACTGTCACCGCTACTTTTTTATCTATACATCGAAGACGTGTTAAACATCATTAAAGACAGGACAACTGTAGGTATAGATTATACAGTGGCAATAGATTAGTATGCTTAGATTTGCAGATTATATAGCGCAGGGCCGGACTGACCAAACCGGGCCAAATACCTCCCGGGCCAAATCGAGCCAGATGACTCAAAAAATGTGAAATTAAAGTCCGGCTCTGATTTTTATCCTTCATTTTTAAATCTAATTTATAAAATTTTCTAAAAATAAAAAATTTTTAAAACAAGAACAAAGACCGAGGTAAAGACAAACGCAAATTTCCTCCTAAATTCTTAAATTTATTTAAAAACGTGTGCTGTTAAAATTTGTGCACTTCCCCTTCTAAACCAGGTCATTTGGTTTCATCAGTCCAGCTCTGATATAGCAGTATTAGCATCCAGCAAGAAGGAGTTATAGTTAGCCTTAAATAAAATGGAAGCGGTAATGACAAAATAATATTGTATGAAAATAAATAAAAGTAAGACAAAAATACTGGTATGCAAAGGAAGAAAAAGTAGAGAAAGAGCGAATATTAAGATAGGAGACAAAAGATTAGAAGAAGTGGCTAATTTTTTGGTATCTAGGAATTCAGATAAGTCAGGACAGAAGGAGTAGTAGGGATAGAAAGCAGAGGATTCCGCAGGATCCAGTCGCCTTCAATAAAAAGAAGTTACTTCTATGCTCGTGAACGGTTAATTTAGAAATTCGAAAAAGATTGTTAAAGGTGTAAGTACGTCTGAAGACCGCCGGTGTACGGGTGCGAAACATGGACAGTGGGCGCGGCGGAAAAGAAAAGGTTAGAAGCGTTTGAAATGTGGCCTTACCGGCGTATGATGAGGATAGACTAGGTTAGAAATGAAGAGGTATTAGAAAGAATATGGGAAAATAGGACTCTATGGAAGCCAATAAAAAGTAGGCAAGATAAGTTGATAGAATACCTTCCAGGCACGAAGGGCTACTATTTAGAGACATATAGGAAGCAGGAACATTAGTTAAGAAAAGAGAAGTATACCTGGAGCGATTACAATCACAAATAGTTATGGTGGTATGATGCTCCAGTTTTAGGAAAATACGAAGACTAGCTCAGGGTAGGAAAGAGTGGAGGTAGGTAGAAGACAAAAAATTAGAAGAAGTGGTTGATTGTCAGTATCTAGGAAGTCAGATAAATTAGGACGGAAGGAGTAGTAGGGATATAAAGCAGAGAATAGCGCAGGATCCAGTCGCCTTCAATAAAAAGAAGTTACTGCTATGCTCGCGAACAAGGTAGGAAAGACTGGAGGTGCGTGTCCAGCCAGTCTTACGACTGACGACCTTATGATGATGATGAAAAATATTTTTGCAAATTAAAGAAAAATTTTACACCCAAAGTTAACTTTTTTTAAAATCTTAAAAATTAATTCTCAGCACCTTAGTAAAATTAATACTTACTTTTTTATAGTACCTGATTAAAGAATATTCCTAATTTTAATGTAATTGATTTCTAAATATAATGGTTTCTAAAGAAAATGTCTGTGATAGACTGGATTTTATTTTTCATTGAGTAACGAAAAATTTTAAAAAAATAGTCCTCTAATAGTTTTTAATGACAAATCTCGGCAAGGCAAACAGAAAGATAAAAAACTGCAATTTTGTACATGTATATTATATCGCCTTAAAAAACATCTCAACCGTTATAACAAAGTTTTTTAAAGAACAATAACTTTTAGGACAGCAATTTATTGAAAGTACTTAAAATTAGTTGTTAATCGCGAGCTTACTTACCCTGTGAGATTGAAGTTTCGCTTTTTTAATTTTGAGACACGAAAACACCGACATTTTTAAAAAATCGCACTCAACTTCTAATTCAATGTAAAATAAATATTCAGCTCTGTTTATTAACTATGGAATATGCACAAATGTTTGACTAGTTTTGTTAAATTCATACGGAAGGCTTATCTATTTCAGTAATATTGAATGCTATTTATTATCTTATGAATATTGTTATACTTAATGTTCCAAGTTAGTTAAAAACAATATAGCATAGAAAATGAACTCAAGAAAAACGTACATTTAAGGTAGCAAAAATTATGATAGTTCTTATACATCATATTATAATACATAATAATAAATGACCATTGTCGCCTTAATGTTCTAATTAAAAGTAACACCTACGGTCATCAATAAAATAAAACTAAATGTTAATTTTCACAAAATATATTAGAGCACTTTACAATTGTTTCGCCTCACCAAGGCTGTAACTGATCACTAAGATTGATTGGGCACGTACCTTCACTCTTTCCTATACCGAGCTAGTCTTCGTATTTTCCTAAAACTAGTACATCCTACCAGCATAACTATTTGTGATTGTAATCGCTCTAGGTATACTTCTCTTCTCTTAACTCCTATTTCTGCTTCCTATATGTCTCTAAATATTAGCCCTTCGTGCTTGAGAAGGTATTCTATCAACTTATCTCGCCTATTTTGTATTGACTTCCATAGAGTCCTCTTTTTCCCTATTCTTTCTAATACTTTTTCATTTCTAACCTAGTCTATCCTCATCATAAGCCGATAACAACACATTTCGAACGCTTCTAATTTTTTTTCATGTTTCGCACCCGTACAGCGCCGCGCTCCAAACATACACTTTTAACAATTTTCTTCGAATTTCTAAATTAACCATTTGCGAGCATAGAAGTGACTTCTTTTTATTAAAGGCGATACGACCTTGCGCTATCCTCTGCTTTATATCCCTACTACTCCTTCCGTCCTGACTAATCTGATTTCCTAGATACCTAAAATCAGCTACTTCTTCTAATTTTTCGTCTCCTATCTTTATATTTTCTCTTTCCTTACGTTTTCTTCCCTTGCATACCAGTATTTTTGTCTTACTTTTATTTATTTTCATACAGTATTGTTTTGTCAGTACCGCTTCCATTTTATTTAAAGTTATCTCTAACTCCTCCTTGCTAGATGCTAATACTGCTATATCATCTGCAAATCTAAACATACTAATCTTTTGCCCCTGTATATCTATCTCTACACATGTACTTTCTTCAATGATGTTGATCGCGTCTTGGATGTATAGATTAAAAAGTAGCGGTGACAGTGTGCATCCCTGTCTGACTCCCTTCCTAATATTTATTTCTCGACGTTGCTTCCCCATCTCTATAACTGCCTGTTGTTCTTTGTAGAAACTAAGTATCACTCTTCTATCTTTGTAACTCATCCCTACATTTTTAAGTATATTTAATATCTTGTCCCATTTAACATTGTCAAAAGCATAAACCTATCTCGCCTATTTCTTATTGACTTCCATAGCGTCCTTCTCTATCCACGGTAAAACTATTGTCTGTTGGATTTTATTGGTGAAATTAGATTTTATTTTATTTTATCGTTAGACATAAATTGTAAAAATTATTTTCCATGGTACGAAGCCCTCGGTATACACGTCGAATTTGCACTTGGTCAGTTGTTATTTTTACAATCTGTTAATCATAGAAAACATGATTCTTTATCATTACTAGAAAGTACCTACTAAATTGAAAGCGCATTAGCAATTAAAATATTCTGCTCCAGATTGATAATAAAAAGGAGATAATCCGCTACTCGTCTATATACCGCTTTGTCTTAATACGTATCTATGTGAATTTGTATGAAACGTAAATTAAAGTTAAAGATCTTATCAACAGTAATTGTATGTGAGTTTGCATTATTAAATACGTATATCTTTGCTAGAGAAAGTCTAAATATGTAAACAAGTATCATTTTTATATTAATGATATACATAAGTATTAACGGTAGAAGTAACAATGTAATCCCCTTAAGCTATTTTATTGGAATATTTCTAATTAATTCGAAAAAGAAGTTTAATTTCTAGAATGGCAAAGGAGCTGGGCCGTTTTTGAGTCATTATAATCTAGTCAAAAATATTTCATTCGCTGAATTGTAGTTTCTTACTCAAGACTTGAAAAGGCTCACAAACATAAGGGGTTGTTCATAAAATACATTCGTAAATAAGGAGGAGGAAAGGGTATTGCTTAGCGTGACGGGATANTGAGAAATAAGTATGTGGGATTTTAAATGATTTGATGTGGTGTTATTTGTCGGTATCTTTTTAATTCCTTTTCTGCACACCAAAGTTGCTTTATATGTTTATCTTGAGAATTGCAATACTTAGATAAAAGAAAGAAATGGACAAAAAAAAAATCGAAACTTACATTCGTAAATAAGGAGGAGGAAAGGGTATTGCTTAGCGTGACGGGATAAATTTTTCATAAATTTTATTTTTCTTAACTTGACAGTTCGTAAAATTTTTCATTACGATAGAAAGTCATTCTCAATGCAATTTTTAATGGCAAGTTTATGGGGGTGGAGTAGCTTTGTGATGTAATATTTGGTAGGGGGTAGTCGCTGAAAATGTAACTTGGCGAGACGAAGGGGGAGAGAGGGATCTAAAAAGGTGAAATTCTGAGTGATGCATTTTATGGACTTGAAGACATCTTCTGATTTATTTCTATTTTTTTAAGGTCCTGAATTATCTGAAGATATAAAGTGCACAGGATACTATTTTATTATTTTTGTTATTCCAAGGAGTAATTACCAAGAATTGATATGTTCAAAAAACCCCGCTCACGTTCAAAAATTGGTTAGATATGCAGTTCCACTGCTTCCAATTATGAGCGAATCTTCGTATTTCGCGAAAACTAGTAAATAAATAGTAATCCGATTTACTGCTCCACTTAGCTTCTGTTTCTGCTTCTTGTTTTCCTAACTATTCTTTCATGTTTCAGAAGGCGTTAAACCATTCCATATGTATATCTCCTTTCTCTTATTCATTGACTTTCATAGAGCCTTTTCCTGTAGGTTTAGGTTTTTTTACCTTTTTTAACAGCCCTTTTTTTCTAACCTTTTCTACCCATCTTATTTTCAAAACCTGAGTAAGTATAACATCACATCTCACACCTCAAACGCTTCTAACTTTTCATTTTCGCCGAGTTTCGCATAGAAATACACTTTTCTAATTCTAATTTCTAAATTAACCGTTCGCGAGCACAGAAGGAATTTCTTTTGATCGTGGGCCACTCTTTGGTTTACGTGCCTACCACTTTTTCCATCGCGAGTTATCTGATATTCTAGTTATCAAAAATCGGCGACTTCTAGTTTTTCAATTGCAATTTTCATATCAGTTCTAATCCTACTTTTATGCCCCTATATATAGGAATATTTTTGTTCTACTTACTGTTCGCAAATAGTTAAGGATGTGGGATGTTCTAGTTTTAGGGAAAGATTAACTTAGGATAAGAGGAAAAAGTGGCGGTGTCTGTCCAACCAGTCTTAGAACTGACGATTTTATGATGATGGTGATTTTTATTTATATTATTTAATGCTCTTTTGTTAATTTCGGTTCAATTTTATTTAACACCATCTTTTGCTGCTTCTTGCTAAATTTGCTGTGTTGTTCGTAAACGTAATAAGCATACTCTAATCCAGGGGTGACCAACCCGCGGCCCGCGGGCCGTATGCGACTCGTCTTGAACATTTTTCCATCGCGCGAGATTCATCATATCTTACAAAATAAATTTATATTATAATGGCCAAAGTAGTGGATAACAATGTAGACATTATAAGAATAAATTATTTGTGCATCTATATCTTCAAAAATTAACTGTGGAAATTAGGAGAAAAAATTAACTTTAATTTTAAAACAATATTCTTGTCATGACAAATATTGTCTGTTTTATTATTGAGTTCAAAAAATGTCTATTCTATAATGGGTCTAGATCTAATATGCGGCCCTTGGAGTTATGATTTATTTCTAAAGTATCTTGAAAGATATTTCGACACTGTCTATACAGAAAGCTAATAATACCCAATCCTAATTATATACATATTATTGCATTTAGACCATCAGTGGTTCTTAGACGTTCGGGGCCTGAAGAATATCTAAGTTTTCTTGGGGGGAAAAATAAAAGGCAAATTACAAAATTTTTACATAACGCGCAATTTTCAATTTTTACAAAAAATGTCATGCAAATTACCCGTAAAGAACAAGATTTAGCCCGTACAAATTTGAAACCTGGTTTAAAAGGAATCGAAATTACAAATCATTTCTTTCTATTTCCGAAAACCACATTTTCGTCAAAAGATTGATCAGAAATAAATCAGGCTTTCTGATCCGGGTATGATGGAAAATCGTCACGCCATATATGATCAACATAGGATCCATTTGAAAAATCCATGTCGGATCTGTTTCTAAGATCCATGACGGATCCGTTTCTAAAATCCATGACGGATCCGTTTTAAGGATCCATGCTGGACCCATTCAACAGATCCATTCCCGATCCAGTCAAAAGATCGTTTAAAGGATGAGGATTATTTTTTCTTTTTATTAATTTGGCATAAAATAATTAAATCAATATTACCATTTTACCTTAAT